CAGACAACTGGATGTACTTGCATTTCTCAGTGAGTGATCATGTTCCCACCACCGAGGCTCGAACCCAGTGCCCATAGTTTCAAACGCCAAAGCGTTATCCACTAGACCACTTGGGCCACGAGAGCCACCTCTTGTGCAACGGGTCATATTAATTATTGAATTGAATTTTTGATTTTCCCGTCGATTGATTGGACCGAAGTGCTCGGTCTCAGGTTGACATGTCGGCTTCAATCGACGGGAAAATCAAAAATTCAATTCAATAATTAATATGACCCGTTGCACAAGAGGTGGCTCTCGTGGCCCAAGTGGTCTAGTGGATAACGCTTTGGCGTTTGAAGCTATGGGCACTGGGTTCGAGCCTCGGTGGTGGGAACATGATCACTCACTGAGAAATGCAGGTACATCCAGTTGTCTGACGAGTCCCAAATAGGACGAAATGCGCTTTATCCTGGATTCCACTGCTAGCCACCATCCACCAATTGTATACAAATCAAATCCCCAGACATCGTCGAAGCATCTCCACAAGAAGCCGACATATCAACCTGAGACCGAGCACTTCGGTCCAATCAATCGACGGGAAAATCAAAAATTCAATTCAATAAGTCTTGAAATTGTCTCCAAGTACCGATTTTTGGCCGTCGATTACATCAAATACATATATTATCTGAATATCATCGGATGGTGGCTCAACGGTGGAATGTTTTCTACTCGACAGGCACTTGATCTTGGTTCGATTTCCATCTGAATCAGTCTTAAAAGTCGCCTAGATAATTTGTAAGTCTGAAAAAGAGAGAAGGTTGGTGGCAATCAGGCTAAGGACACCCATCTCGTAAAGAAACACCATCGCTACGGAAACTTCAAAGCTTAAGCTTGAAGTCTAGTGTTCCACTTGGAACGCAAACAGAAACAACAATGAAGGCCATGCTGTAACGACAGAAGACAAGGGTCAGGCAACAGATCGTTTATTGAAGAAATCAAGAGATATTTATATATATTTTATGTACATTATTATTCGTTATTACTTGCAGAGAAAAAGCGTCTTCTGATTGGTTGTTTTCTTGCCTAAGGTTATTCTGTCATCTCTTAGTGGCTGTTTCTTTGAAGGTCAGACAATATGTCTGCGAATCGTATCCGCCCACGCAAAGTCTTTGTTCTTTGTTTTTCTTCTCATGACCAAGATTTGGGAGGTAAACATTGACGTAAGTTGCTGTCTACCAATTTTGGCTAGCAGACAGCTTTCACTACAATACATCCTACCTACTTAGAGTATTCAACGACGCACATACAAATATTGAATTTTTCTATGGGACATGAAAATGGTGGAAAGTTCCATTTCCTTGACATTACCATGCAACGCCTAGAAGACGGTAGTCTTCACAGGTCAATTTACCGAAAGCCTACGTAGAAATGACAATACCTACATTTTAATAGGTTTTGTTCAAATAGCTTTAAACATGGACTAGTTAAGACTCTATACTATAGAGCTAGGAGAATATGCTCTATAGAGAAATTAGAAGAAGAATTTATGACTATCGAAAAGATGTTGAAGAGCAGTGGGTACGTGTTATAACTGCAATGAATTAAGGTAAAACCCCGTCGCCAATTTGTTATAACTGTAGGGAATTGAATGAAGACGTTTTCACCTTGTTCTGTCTGCGCCTGAACTAAACTGCCTATCTGCTTGTCGTACCTTCCGATTTAGTAAAGCACGCAAATATCAAAAGACAAAGGCTGGACTGTGACTGTGTATTAAAGTGCCACAACGACAAAGAAAGCCATGGTATTTATACATTTTACAACAATATGGACAGCTAACAGCATTTGAAATAATTTATCTTAATAGCCAATAACAAAGTGCGTGAGAGATGATAATATACCATATGTGCGAGATTGACAGTCAATAACAAAATGTGTGGGAATGATAATATACCATATATACAAGATTAGCAGTCACTACCAAAATGTGTGAGAATGATAATATACCATATATACAAGATTAACAGTCAATACCAAAATATGTGGGATCCTATCAGTACGCTCAAAGGTTCATTAAAATATACTGAGGATCTGAAGGCTCAAAGGTCAAACAAATCACATGTGCAGCAGAAAAAGCCCATCTTCATACTACATGATTTTACAGATGAAAATATTGCAGCAATTGTCAACAGAATATTGAGAACGTCACTAGCCACAGTCCATACAATAGTACAGCTAAGCTGGTTCCCGTCTATTGAACAAAATACTCGTTAGTTCAATTAAAAGTTGACGGATATCCTTCTCATATTAACTCCAACTGTGTGTATACAAATTCAAACGTATCTGAGAAAGCAGTTACATTGAAATAACAGAAAGAAGAAGGGTATATCTGCGATTTTCTGAACCATATACCAAAAAGCCTATATCTCAAGGGAACAAATACTTTAAACAGTGCCATCGCCAGACGTCTCCTTAACACGGGTCATGAGGTGGGCATCGCAAGATCATTCAAAATAATCAATAGGCAGAAGAGTACAATTCTCCTCAAGTTTTCCAAAGCAATCTTCACCAAGCGCCTAAAATCTAATTTATGCGTTTGGAAAGAAGCGGTTATCAGTCTTTCTTTGCCCTGTCTGGTAATTGAATATTTCAACTCTCTTTCTTTAATCTAATTACGTAACACCGGAAGATTCCATTGTGTATGATCAATATTGTTTGGGATAAAGTGTTTATTATTATATATATATTGTTATTGTATGCATATATTGATTGATTTTTGTTTAAAAATGAATTCTGTACAAGTGATCCACAATGAGAAACTCAGCTAGGCGTTTGGAGTAAACAAAGGAGTCGGACAAGGTTGCCTGCTTATTATCACCGATGATATTCCTAATTGTGGTGGACTGACTGGATTATGCGTCAGACAGTGAGTGGGAAACGAGAAGATAGGGATATCCTGGACAGACAGACGTGAAGAACCTAGAAGACCTGTATTTCGCGCGCGGATGATTTATGTTTGATGTCACACAAAATCGAAGAATTAAAAGCGAAAACCGACCAACAAACTGGTGGGAGAAGCAGACAGTGAAGACAGGACTCCAGGTGAACATAGAAAAGACGGAGGTTATGAAAATAACCAACCAACCACCACCAACACCACCAACAACAGCAACACCAACATCCAGCGTCAATCACCATCAACGAGAGGGATTTGAAAGAGATTACTTCATTCATTCACTTATCATCTAGGGAGCATTGTATCAACTACAGGAAGTCGGAACAGACAAGGATGTCAAATCGAGTGAGAATCGGGAAGACGAGCGAGAAACACATTCCCTCATCAACCTGAAACCAATCTGGAAGTTTTCGTCACTCAACTCAGCATCAACAACAAAATTCAGTCGGATTTTCAATACAGACAACGTCAAGTCAGTCAGCTCTTCTATACGGATCAGAAACTTGGCGCTTGGCGGGTTACAAAGAATATTTCCAACAGCCTGTTGCAGACCTTTATCAATAACTAACTGCCTTCGCTGGCTCTATACTGAAGATCAATCAGATGGACGGGCGGGAAAGAATCCCACCAACAAGAAACTATGGCTGGGAACAAACAAGACAAGAACCAATCGCCAACCAACAAATATGCAGGAGAAAGTGTATTGAGATGGATTGGACACTCGTGGCTGAGGAGGCCGGGCCACTGGGTGACATCGTGCGCGCGTCAGGCCGTTGCTCGAGTGGAACCAGGCCGAAAGGGAAGCGGAGGCGAGTGGGACGTCAGTGCAAGGGTGAGTGAAGTGGAGGAGATCGTGTGAAGAGGAAGGAGTTGAAACAGAATGGACTGACTAACATGGATGCAGGTGAAAAGTACAGCAGAAGACAGACAGAAGTAGCAAGTGGAGACGTGCAATTGAAACCGTATGTTCCACTAGGAACCCAAGGGAACAATAATAAATAATGTTAAAACTGTTTCTGTAGATAAACTTAATAGTGACTTTGGTCTGTAAGCAGCTGAGCTGATGAGAAACCAACGAAATAAACAATGATGGTATCATTTTATTCTGCAAAAACTGCTGTTGTTCTTGCTTTATTCAAATTCATCAAGAGGAATAAATGTATGAAGAAGCGATGTGTCTAACACACTCTAAGGGGATCATTGAGTTGCATCAAATGTTAGGTATGATATATATATATATAACTCCAATGTAAAGTCAGTGTTACTTTATGGATCAGAGACTTAGCACATCACGAAGGCCACCTCGAACAAACTACAGACCTTCATCAACAGCTGTCTGCGCTCAATACTAAAAATCAGATGGCCGGCTATAAAAGATCAGCAACAGGTAGGGATCTCTGGTAATAAACGAACCAATCCAGCAGGAACCGATTGTGAAACAAATAAACGGGAATAAATGGAGGTGGACTGACCATACTGTAAGAAAATAAACCATCAAGTTACATCACACTCTAGTTCATTGTTCAACTGGAGGCTGAATGGGAAACGGCGAGCCGGGTTGTCACTGTGAGGATGACGTGGAGTGGAGGAGTTCATGTGAAGAGGAGATAGGAAGCAAACCCACTCCGCTAAAAGAAAAACAACACAGCACCATTACTGAAAACTTCTAAGCCCAAATTTCAAGCTTTCTATTCTCCCTGGAGGTGATGATCGTCTTGTTGAAGGAATTAACAGCCAGTAGGTTTTCAAAACTCGCTGAAAACCAACTAACTAGCTAACTGGGACGTTAAATCACACCTGTCCAACTATACTTTATCCAATCGATTAACAAACTATTTATGAATATAAAGAAACGAACTGAATTGTATGGTATGCATATATTTCCAAATTATCATCCTATTTGGTACATTTATATTCACAAATTTTTTTATTTTTAAAAAAATGTATTCATATTGTAATATAACTACAGAAATGCTTCATTTTTGTCATATTCGACTTTACTACTACTAATACTAATGCTACTAACTCCGGATATAAGTAGTTTATTTAGCATTTAGTAGCATTTAGTTCATTCAGCTATTGACTGTTGAACAAGATCAACATGACGTGGCTGAAGATGCTGAGGATGGTGGTGATGGTGGTGAAGATGATCATCATGGTAATGATGATGATAACGTAAGCGTTCTGCTGTCTTCATCCAACTGGATACATTTGTACAATTCATCATTGACGAAGACATATCACCACAACGATTTAAACGATCTTGTACTTCAGCGCACAGTGTTCTCTTAGCCATCTCTAGTGGTGATGATTTTGAAGACTGTGGCATCAGCAATGATGGTATCAGCGGTGGTAAGGATAAATTCTCCTTGACATTTAAATATTTTATTACACTGCCTGACTTGTATTCATTCAAATTTTTTTCACTCATTTGACTACATCTCTGATTATGATGTTGACTTGCTATGGGATTATTATGATCGATATCTGACATAAGCGAGTAGTCATTTGATTTGATTGAATTCAAATGAGATAGTTTGGAGAGTAAGTGAGGTGTTTCGTTGAAATGAAATATCCCTTTCACAGTATGATTTACTGTACTATTCGATTCTTCTGGGTTATATCGCTGTTGTTGTTGTTGCTGTTCCTGCTGTTGATGCTGTCGATGATGAGGGCTGAATTCATTCATGCTGAATTTTGTAATTTGTTCAGAAAATGAATATTGCTGATCATTATTATTATTATTATTATTATTATTATTATTATTATTGAAATTTGAATATTGATGATAGTTATGCTGATGACCTTGAATTGCATTTTCCGCCAATGAATTCAATGGGTTCACTAACTGATTGGTCAATCGTTTCTTAGTTTTATATCGTCTATTCTGAAACCAGATTTTCACCTGAGTGTGTATAAAAATCAATAGATAAAGATCATTACTTAGGAATAAATGAAATTCCATATAATCTTCAGAATTGCATAAGTTATATTTCTTAATCAATAATATTAAAATTTCCAAGAGGTAGTTTTGTTTTCCCATGGATTGATATCAGTTAGGGAACTACTGGAAACCTAGTTTACGACTTACTTGTCAACAGTTCCCATCGATTGCTAGGCCTCGAACCTAGGACCTTTCGGTTATAAGGAAAGCTCATAGACCATTCTGCCACTAGGATACGACTCAATGACCAGTCCATGAATTCTAATTTCTAACAATTTGGGATTGTAGCGTGACTCGTACCAGTCACCGTTATCCCTGGCGAGTATTTATTCTCACCCCTAATGGTCATGACTTTTCTCTAGAACTCGAGGCCACTTCTTCCTGTACGCAGTCACTACCGTGTCTCAGATTAATTTTGAAGCGTTAATTTGGGCGGAGGATTTGATATATTTCAAGTTTGACAACCGATTGATATCGCCAATGAAGTTTGCTGGTGAGAGTCCAGCTGAAATCACAAACAAGGTAGAAGTTTGAATTCATTGGTTGGCCATTGGAACGGGCCGCAGTAGTTGAATGATCTACGAGCTTACCTTGTAACCGGAAAGTCTAGGTCTCGAACCCTGATGGTCAGTGCGTACTGTCAAGGAGTTAATCCCAAACTGAGCTGATAAAACAGCTGTCCAGTAGTCTGTCGTTTCTAATAGTTCTCTGTGATTAAACTTCAAATAAATAGAATTATGGAGAATAACTAACAGTGTCCTTGTGTAAGTAAGTTAGAACTTGAGTCTTACTGATCTATTATACCTTAAACGAATTTTTAATGTCTTCCAAATTTACTTACTGATGGAAATGCTGCTTTCATATATGGAAATACAAACACCCATCCAGCTGATGAGTCCAAAATAAGCGGGATAGATACAACCTGGATTCCAGTACTATTTATCATCAACTGAAGTAACTGATGTTCTATCTCCTGTGTTAAGTGGTATAGTAGGGTGAACAATATTGAGGTTAGGCATCGGTCGAGTGCCAGATGAGTAAGGAGGTGGTGAAGCAGTTACACCGATTGAGAGAGGTGGTTAGGACATGTGTTACGCATGTATGTCTAGTCATCACCTTCCTCGACTGACGGGCAATGTTAGTTGAGGTAGGGTCAGGCTAGAAAATAGCTAGAGGCGGTCAAACCAAAACATGGCACCAGTCAATGAAATCTACGATAGTTAGTCTGAGCCATGTAGGAAGGTGTAGACTTCCTGACTGGTTGGGGTCCTCGGGACGGTACAAACCCAATGGTTGGAAACAATTGGTGATATGGCTCAAAATCGTTCTCAATGGCTGGCTGGTGCAGATGCATCCACTCTTTGTGACTTATAATTTCCAATGAAACTATATTGTTCTTCTTTATTACTATTCCTTTGTCTCACATTTCTGTTTACTGTCTCTATTATGCATCTCTTCCACTTTCGTCTCTTGCTTTGTGTGCTACAATGAGGGAGTATGGCGAATTGAACTGGTGCACATCGGTGGAAAGTTCTATGTCGAAAATAGACAGACAGACAGACAGAAGTAACACAATGTAAACCATTAGACATCCCAGAAGAGGCTGTACTACGAATCGATATGTCAACAGACATTGAGTATTACAGTCCAATATAAATCAGTCTACAGGAGAGATTCAAACTAGCTTAAACACAAAAAAAACGCACACATTTATCATTCTATCGATCCGAAACAGATCAATTACTATGATCCTCTATCATAATATGGAGATATATTTAAGAACCGGAGGTATATAATTTTTGGAGTAGTATTCTGATGTGGTTGTGTTCTCTGAGCTAGCTGGATAGTTAATTTGCGAAGGGGACGTCCCCATTCGTCTTCATATCCATGAACATAAACTAACCGTCAAAAGATTTGACACTCACTCCCTTATATCACTCGCTACATACAGACAACCACGAACATCAATTCGACAGGGACAACCAACGTTCAAATATTAAAGAGAGGAAACACTAAGAACGCTAGCCAGAGAATTTTTAGAAGCTTACCTGGTATTCAAGTGAATCATCAATCAATAGACACATCGAGATAGACAGAATTTATCAACCGATAAGAAAGAAACCTCACAAACAAAAAGGTCAAAGTTCATGTCAAGGAAACAATCAATACCAGTACCAATACAAGTAACCTAGAAGGTGTGAAAACACACAAAAACAACCAATCACGTTCTAGATCACCAAGAGGGATAACTAATAGACTCGTAGAGAAATCTAGAAGCTCACTTCCCCTCAAATTGAAGTACGCGCTGAAAATGTTGTCTAGTGTAAGGGCAATAATGAGAGCTTTTCGCAAATTAACTACCCAGCTAGCTCAGAGAACACAACCACATCAAAATCATTCCCACCTGAGCTACAAATCTTCTCTGTCATATCTAAATCTTACGATTGGAGTACTATAGATGTACTGAGTAAGTTAATAGGAATATCACACCATTTACTTATATTCTAGCTAATCCATTCCACTTGACTGACTTAAACAACTAACATGACACTGAAACGTTCGCTAACCAAGTTTCCATTAGTGTAGGCTTGATTCATGTTTAAATAAATTGACTGGTCACCATAGAGTAAGCAGTGTCAGGTGTTTAATCTTTATTGTTGATATTGACTCAATTCTATCAACTAGGTGTGCTATGCAGGCAACTCTACAAGGCGGTGGACTTCCAGTTATTACTACCATTACTATTATTAGGCATTTGAGGGGAATTCATAAGGAGCCCAAGATCCAGATCTGTAAAATGATTAGTGTTCAACATTAAGGCACATAAGTAACCTTATAGTAACTAATATCCTGAGTCACTCACTTCTACAGCCAAAGATTTTATTATTGAATCCGACTAAATCAGAGCGAAAGCATACAATATGGTCTTTTTTCAGGGAAATTGTTTTGGTGGTGCAGTGGTAAAATGCTCAGCAAATCACGCATCATGTGGTCCTGGGTTCAATCCTCGGCCGATGTACTCCTTAGCCTAGTCTAGCCGGTAGTAGAGGGAAGGCTGAATGTGAGGCTACGAACCGCAGCCCTTAAAAATGCAACCACTACTATTGGAACTTCAAAGTAAGTATACAAATTGAGCACTGTGGTGGTAGAGTATAACTTCATTATGGATATAATTTCATTTCGATAAATCACATAGTGTTGTTACACAGTAAAATTAACTGATGACCACCTTTCGAGCACAATTTATTGCTGCTCATAATCATATCAAAGCACTACTCAAGCAACTTTCTTGCTTCATTTTTACACATGAGTAAAAATTGATGATTAGGCATTCGAATAAAATCAATACAGGATAATGCACATTTAGAAATAACAATAATATAAGTGTTATCGATGAAATACAATCAGATGGGAAATAAGATGAGTGTTTTTATAGTCAAAATAAATAAGTAACTTGTTAGAATGTTATGATGTACATGAAATGAACTGAATTAGAATACAATTTAAGAATAAGTCGTGACCAGTAGGGTGCAGCTGGTCGGGTGTGAGGACAAATACTCGCCGAAGACATTGGCTAGCGGTCGCGCTATGTCGTGAATTGGCAGAAGTTAGAATTCAAGGACCATTAGATCGGGTCCCAGTGGCTTAATGGTATACGAGCTCGCCTTGTAACCGGAAGGTCCTGGGTTGGAATCCCGGTGGGTGCGTACTGCTGAAGAGTCCCAAACTAGGACGAAACAGCTGTCCAGTACTCCCAGGTTTTCCAATGGTTCTCTAACTACTGTCAGCTCATGATGAAATCCTGAAACAATTTAAGATTATTTATTATCCTCCTGTGAGTTGACTGACTGACTGACAGACTGACTGGTGGTAATAATATCTTCCGTGCATATCTCTGGTATTTGCATTGAGTCATTTGTGTTGCATGGGTTGTGTTGGGTGTAGACTGGATGAACCAGTTAGTATTCGGTAATCAACCTCTCTCTCTCTCTCTCCACCTACGTTTATAACTTTTTAGAATTTCGACTCTGTCCCACCCACCCTATTGTGTGATTTTGTGTTAATGTATGCATGCAGTGCGATAGCTGAGCTTTTCTCTAAATTACTTATCTTCGTGAGATCAATCATTCTAATCTTAGTTAAATTATTATATTCTCATAATCTCACTACACCCTCTGGATCTACTAGTTTGACCTATGTAGTTGACTTAACGCACAGTCATTGCAGGGTATTTCGTAAATTATATTATTTTGTCTAATTGGGTCAACGTTCAGGGAGCTTCAGCCTACACAGCTTGTCCTACCTGAGTGAGTTTATAGGTTTAAATGTCACCGCCCTAATTCCTGCTTTATTGAGAATCCTACGTGAGGGGTGGGGGTTCATATATACCCCCTCCTTATATGGTAGAACTGTAAATTTTCATTATAATAAAGGTTTTTGTATTTCCTAATGAATGAAAAACAAAACGATATTCCTGTTTTTACTGACGTTTCGCTATTTAGTGCTGTTGCTAATAGCTTTATCAAAGTATTATTGTTTAACAGAACTGTAGATGCCTTATATTTATATGTTATCATTACTAGTTTTACCATTATTATTTCCCATTCGATTGTATTTTATTGGTAACATTAATATTATTATTTACGAATACCCTTTATCATCTTATATTGATTTTATTCAAGTGTCTAATCATCAATTCTTACTCATGTATATAAATGAAGCAAAAAAGTTGTGTATGAGTGAGTACTGCCTTGATATGATTATGAGCAGTAATAATAAATTGTTCTGGAAACGTGGTCATCAGTAAATACATGCGTCGGTGGCACAGTGGTTAGGACTCTCGCCGACCATGCACATGGTCCGGGGTTCGAGCCCACGCCGACGCACACCTTAATATCAATGGTCGGCCTGCGAATTTCGGGCTACCAATATCCACGCTGAAAATTCCATACTTGTACCAA